GCTTTTGTGTGTGCTCTTTGTTTTAAGGGGTGGTTCGCTCTTGGGACTGAGAGGGACCAGACATCAATCCAGGTTCTCCCCATCTTTCTAAACAAGTCTCTCCTATTTCAAACTTGTAAGTAAAAAGCCAGGCAAGGCGTCTTAGATTTACTTTGTTTTCTCAACTTGTAAATGTACCTTTTTACCAGAATGTGTATCTTTGTTTGCTGTACTTTGAACCTAAGACAGAGGGGGGTCCTCTGAGCTCTTTAAGTTTGATTACCCTGTAAAGTATTCTCCATACTGATTTTACAGAGATGATTTTTACCTTTTTCTTTAATTAAAAGCCTTCTTTTTTAAGAACCAGATTAATTTCTCCTTATTTTAAGATCCAAGGGGGTTTGGATCTGTGTTCACCAGGGAATTGGTGAAAGGTTTCTCAAGGCTTCCCAGGGAGGGAGTTCTTGAGATGGTGGCAGCGGACCAAAGCTAAGCTGGTAGATAAGCTTAGGAGTCCTCATGCAGGCCCCTACATTTGTACCCTAAAGTTCAAAGTGGGGATACAGCCTTGACAGATGTATTAGCAGGAATGTTGTAAGCAAGACACGAGAAGTAATTCTTCCACTCTACTCTGTGCTGATTAGGCCTCACTTGGAGTATTGTGTCCAGTTCTGGGCGCCATATTTCAGACAAATTGGAGAGAGTCCAGAGAAGAGCAACAAAAATGATTAAAGGTCTACAAAACATGACCTAAGAGGGAAGATGAAAAAACTGGGTGTGTTTAGTCTGGAAAAGAGAAGACTGAGAGGGGACGTGATAACAGTTTTCAAGTACGTAAAAGGTTGTTACAAGGAGGAGGGAGAAAAATTGTTTTTCTTAACCTCTGAGGATAGGACAAGAAGCAATGGGCTTAAATTGCAGCAAGGGAGGTTTAAGTTGGACATTAGGCAAAACTTCCTAACTGTCAGGGTGGTTAAGCACTGGAATAAATTGCCTAAAGAGGTTACTGTGGCACCTTTGAGACTAACAGAAGTATTGGGAGCATAAGCTTTCGTGGGTAAGAACCTCACTTCTTCAGATGCAAGTCTGAAGAAGTGAGGTTCTTACCCACGAAAGCTTATGCTCCCAATACTTCTGTTAGTCTTAAAGGTGCCACAGGACCCTCGGTTGCTTTTTACAGATTCAGACTAACACGGCTACCCCTCTGATACTAAAGAGGTTGTGGCATCTCCATCATTGGAGATTTTTAAGAGCAGGTTAGACAAACACCCGTCAGAAATGGTTTAGATAATACTTAGTCCTGCCATGAGTGCAGGGGACTGGACTAGATGACCTATCAAGGTCCCGTCCAGTCTTACCATTCTATGATTATCATAATCACTATTAGTGCCTACGAGCCTCTCTCATGGGCTATGGCCTCATTGTGCTGCTCACTCTACATGCACATAGTAAAACAACAGTCCCTACCCAAAGGAATTTATAATATAAAGTTTGCATAGGCATTTCTATAGGCCCACATCACCAGGGGCTAAGTCCTCCAGAGAGAGGCACTAACCCCCTCCTGGTGTACATTAGAGAAATTTGCACCAATGCAACATTAAATGCCCCCAGCAGTGGCCAAGGTGCCACAGGACCGGAGCTGCAAGCCCACCAGGTCTGTGTGCTAACCACAGCGCCATCGCCTACAAGAACTGCCAGGGCCGGGTACCGGTCAACCAACTAATAGCCATGTTTGCAAAAAAAAACTGCAACCCGCATGCGCACAAGCTACTACAGCAACAGTTCCCGCACCGCCCAGGTCACAGAGCTGCGCATGCGCACAGTTCGCCTACTCTTCCCCCCCCCCGCTAATTGAGTTCTGAGGGCGGCGCATGCGCGCAGGAGGACGCCTCGCCTCTGCTTGGCGCACGCGCTCCACTCGGCGGTTTGCGCGAGCGTTTCCGTTTCCGGTGCGCGGGTTCCGGAATCCGGCCGGAAGTCGGGGAGCGACGAGTGTCCTAGCGCCGGGAGCGGGCCGCG